ACCTCCTTCCCTCCCTTCCCACCCTCCTTCCTCCTTCCCTCTGCCCCTCCTGTCCTCCTCCTGTCCCTCCTCCCCCACCTCCTCCCTCTCCTTCACCTCCCTCCTCTGCCCTCCTTCCCTCCGCGCTGGCGCGCCGCCTCCTCTCTGTCCTCCCGCCCCACCTCTCCCTTCCTCCCTCCCCCCTCCCTCCTCCCTCCTCCGTCACCTCCCTCGCCTCACTCCCCACCCCCACCATCCCTCTCCTCCTCCCTCCCGCCCCCACCACTCCCTTCTCTTCAACTCTTCTCTTTCTGTTCCTCCTTGCTCTTTTCTCCCGCCCCACCCCTCCTCGCTCCTCCGCGACGAGGGCCCTCTCCACCTCCCGTTCACTCCAGAAACAATTGCCGGCACCCTCGGTCTGTGTAGACGCTGGTCGCTGTGTCCGGAAAAAGAACCTTGAGCCGGATCCACGGAAACGTGGCACAGTGGGAAGGGCTCTCTACTGGGGTTTCGTCTTGGAAGGACAGAGTTTATGGGGGATGTTTTTAGAAATTGTTTTTTAGTTCAACACATTTGTATTTTTTTTTCTTTTAATCCAATTTTGGTGGAACTTAAGAGGAGTTGGAGGAAGAGCACGGAGACTCTCCGTGTGCCCTCTGCCTCAGTTGCCTGAATGCCATCTCTCGGCGGGGGCCCGGGTTGTCTGAGTGGGGTGGTGCTCAGAGACCCAGACCGGGTGCAGGGGGTGCTCACGGCTCCTGGGACTCGTCCCCTGCCAGGCCAGGACACCGCGCTTATGCACACACATGCATGTGTGTGCGTGGCAGCCTGTACGCTCATGTGCGTGTGCAGAGATGAGGAACCCGGTGCTCACGCAGACGGTTCCAGTCCCACCCCCCGCCGGCTCTCCGGCCCCTCCTGTCAGGGCCTGACCCCCGTCCTGGGCAGAGGGAGCCGGCCAAGTCCCACACTGTGTTTGGGGACCTGCCATGAGGCCCGAGGGGCCTCGTGGAGCGAGCACAGGTGTCTCCACATGCCCGTGGCCGGGAGGGGAGTTGCTGAGAGCTGCCCCCGCCGGGTCCCCTGGCCTTGGGTGACACCGGGTGACATTTCTTCCCCACCATATGCGGGTCCTGGCTGTCAGTGGGAGCAGCTTGCTCTCTCCCAGGGTGGCGGAGCCCCCCACGCGGTGCTCACGGCCCCAGGGATGGCCACATGGGCACAGCCACTCCCTGCTAGGGACGGGCCTGGGCTGCCCAGGGGCCCCGGCCTGGGTTCGAGGGGCCTGAAACGTGTGACAGCAGCCGGGGACAGGGCCAGGGCGCAGATGTGCAGCCGAGCCACCGCTGTAACTGCCCCGGGAGCCACGGCCGGCGCCCGCCAGTGCACCTCGAGCCTGTGGGAGGTGGGTGGTTGCCTGCAGGGGGGATGGGTGACCTGGAGGGATGGCCCCAGCTCGCCTGGGGGACCTCGAGTGGCTGAGATGTAGACGCAGCCCCAGGGAGGCCATTCCTGCCGGCCCCTCCCCCTCCCGTGCCCGTCGGCGCGAGGCCTGGGGCCAGGTGGGTTCAGAAGACCTCGTGTTGGGGATGGGCTGGGGCCCCCCAGGAGTGGTTCTGGGTTCCAGTGGTGGGCTGGGTGTGCAGGGCGGTAGGCAGGGGTCTCGAGTGCGGGGCGGGCGTGAGTTTCGCGGCACTCAGGGTCCACCCAGCTCCCACCGTGGTGTCTGCGGTGGCCGGTGCCGTCTCAGTCCCTTTGGGCTGCTGCGGGGAGGAGCCTGAGGGGCGCCTGCCGCGTGTCCTCACGTGGGAACGTTTGTGCCGCACGAGGCCCCGTCACCGCCGCCTCCGTGGCGTTTGTGAGCGCAGGGCCCGCTTGGCCTCGGCCTCCAGCACTGCCGCGTCGGGACTGAGCGTCCGGCGTTTTGCAGGGGACAGAAACGTTCACGCTGAAGGGCGAGCTGTCCATGTGGTCAGAGAAAGACGACTGGCCACGCTACGTGGGCTCGGCTGCGGCGGGTCTCCGGGCCCAGGGGCCTCTGCCCCACCCGCCCCTGCGGCCCTGGCCCTGGCCCTGCCCACCTCCCGGTCCCGCCCCCTCTGCAGGGCTCAGCATGGGCAGGGGAGGGGGCAGGAGGGGTCGTCCACCTGGGATCGGGGTTGCCGTCCTCCCGTGGGGCGGAGCGGAAGAGCCGTTTCCCTCAGCAAGTGGCGGGCTGAGCGCCAAGGCCCGGGAGCGTGTTCTGACTTTTGGAAGGGATTTTACCCAACCTGAGAGGTTTTCAGCGCCGAGCGCCCCCCCCACCCCTGCAGGTGCCTGTGGGGGGGGGCAGCTTCCGATGCTTCGTTTCAGAGGTCGAGGCGTGCGCTCCTGGGCGCCTGGCGTGCTCTGGGTCGTGGGCGTGTGGGAGGAAGCACTGTGGGTAAACACGTGTCCCTGAGCTGAGGACCAGGGGCGGCCGGCCGGTGGCACACGGGGTCCCCGGGGCCGCCCCCACCCGAGCCCTCGACTGCCGTCTGCGTTCGCTCAGCCCCTCCGCGCTGACCCCGGTCGTCTCGCCCGGCAGGAGATGGCAGCCCGAGAGAGAGTGTGCCGTTCGTTAACAATGTCGAGATGGAGAGAGAGAGCTTCTTCGAGGGGAAGAACATGGCGCTTTTCGAGGTAATTCTGTCGTCTGTAGGAAGGAGCTCAGTCGGGGCTATGGGTTTGATGGGGAAACTGAGCCCGCAGTGTGGGGGTCCCCGGGCTGTGGTTGGCAGAGGGTGAGCAAAGGCTCTGCCCGCAAGGGGTCCCGGCAGGGGACGGTCCGCGTCCCCACGGCCTCGGGGGAGCCCGTTTTGTGCCGTGATGCGGCCGGAGGCCTTGCCTGGGTGCCCTCCCTGCGCAGGTGGGCCTGACCTCTGACCTGCTGCCTCTCGGGTACCAGGCCCCATGACGGGCTCACGGGGGACCCAGTGCGGAGCCGGGGCGCAGGGTGGAGCTCGCGGGGGCCCGGGCAGGGCGGCCACGCAGACTCGGGTGCGGGAGGGCCGAGCTCGGCCCGCGGTGACTGCCGCCCCCACGCAGGAGGAGATGGATAGCAACCCCATGGTGTCCTCACTGCTCAACAAGCTGGCCAACTACACCAACCTCAGCCAGGGCGTGGTGGAGCACGAGCAGGCGGAGGAGAGCCGGCGCCGCGCCGCACAGGTACCACCCCGCCCCCGCCCAGGTACCGCCCCGCCCCCGCCTTGCAGCCACGCAGCTCTGTCCCCCATCCCAACTCTGTTCTCAGCCCTGTCACCCTTGTGGCCTGCACAGGGACACACGCCGCCCAGCGAGTGGCCTTCTGGTTTGGGCGGGAACAGACCTGGGGTCTGCAGGCAGGAGCTTCTAGGTGCCCCCAGTGCTGTCTGGGGACGTGGTGGCTGCCACCGTCTCCTCAGAGCCGAGCAGCTGCCCTGTGGCCCAGGGGGCCGTCCTCATCCTCTTCTGTCCCCGTGGCCGCCTGTGCAGCCCCTTGCGGGGCGGGGTCTGGACACGCCGCCCTCTCCCTGCAGACGCCGCGCATGGGCACCTTCATCGGCGTCTACCTGCCCTGCCTGCAGAACATCCTGGGCGTGATCCTCTTCCTGCGCCTCACCTGGATCGTGGGGGCGGCCGGCATCCTGGAGTCCTTCCTCATCGTGGCCGTGTGCTGCTCCTGCGTGAGTGTCCCCGAGGCCCAGGTGGCGTCCTTGCCGGGGGCCGGCGTCCTCGCCGGGGGCCAGCATCCTCGCGGGGGGCAGCGGCAGCTGGACAGGAGGGGCAGCAGGGCCCCCTTCAGTCCCGAGAGCCGCAGCCATCTGGGGCCTGCTCTTCCCAAAGAGCCACCTCCTCCGCCAGACCCGGGACGGCCGCAGGGAGGACAGGCCACGCGGTCTGGTGGCCGAGGCATCCCGCACGGTCTTTCCCGCCTGCTTCTGCAGAGGCGTCGCGGTGCCGGCGGCCACGTGCTTCCCTGGGGGCGGCCGCCACTGCCCTGTGGTCCTGAGCACGGCGAGGTCCCTTGCAGCTGGGGAGACCCCAGTGTTTGCCGGGAGCTGTGGTGGAGAAAGGGACCCAGGCCGGGCGGCACGGCCAGCTGGGACCTGCCAGAGCTGTGCCCGGGCCCGGCTCGCCCCCTGTCCCCAGAGCCCCCGTCCCCTGCCCAGCGTTGTTTTTCCCTTTGTTCTTGTTAGTAGGAGCAGGACTTAGTTGTTTTACTTGCCCGGGTGGCGAAGGGGACTTCCTGGTTCCCGCAGACGGGGCAGCCGTACTGGGCGGTGGGCGCCCAGATCGTGTCTTTGCGCCCCGAGAGCAGTGGGCACTGGGTGAGGCCCCCTGTGCCCCCAGGGGGTGCTCCCGAGAGGGGCCTCCGTCCCCCAGGGCGGGCAGGGACGTGGACGTGGACGGGGCCCCCTCGCACCCCCAGGGGAGGGGCTGAGCCCGGCTTTGGGGGCCGGTTCCAGTCTCACGTTTCCGAGCAGCTCTGTGGGCCGAGCACCGCTGGGAAGTTTCCGGGGAGCTATGGGGCTCCCTGCCCTGTTGCTTAGCAACCCCCAGGATCAGAGCCGTGAGGGGACGCGGGGGCGGCCACAGACCTGTCCCCGTCATAGCAGCTGTGGCCGGCGAGCTCCTGCCCCTAAAACGCTGCCCGTCTTTCCCAGACGCTGCTGACCGCCATTTCCATGAGCGCGATCGCAACCAATGGCGTCGTCCCAGGTAAGGGGCCCGTCCGCGGCGCGGCCGTCCGGACGTTTTAGACGTTTTCCTAATTTACACCTTTGATCTCTGGATGGAGGGCCGACTTTTATTCCGAGTCTGGGCTTCCTCTTGGTTCTGGATTTTACTTCCCGTGAGCAGCTGGCCGTGGTTTTCTCCTGCTCAGCTGTTGACTACAGTCGACGCCAGGCTGTGTGTTCACCTGTGGCTGTCGACTACAGTCAATGATGCCAGGCTACGTGCGTTCATCTGTGGCTGTTGACTATAGTCGACGCTGGACCATGCGTTCATCTGTGGCTGTCGACTACAGTGGATGCCGGGCCGTGTGCATTCATCTGTGGCTGTCGACTACAGTCAATGCCAGGCTGTGCGCGTCCATCTGTGGCTGCCGACTGCAGTCGATGCCAAGCTGTGCGCGTTCATCTGTGGCTGTCAACTATAATCGATGCTGGGCCATGCATGTTCATCTGTGGCTGTCCACTATAATCGATGCTGAGCCATGTGTGCTCATCTGTGGCTGTCGGCTACAGTCGACACTGGGCCGTGCACGTTCATCTGTGGCTGTGGACTACAGTCGACACTGGGCCGTGCGCGTTCATCTGTGGCTGTCGACTACAGTCGACGCTGGGCCGTGCGCGTTCATCTGTGGCTGCCGACTGCAGTCGACGCTGGGCCGTGCGCGTCCATCTGTGGCTGCCGACTGCAGTCGACGCTGGGCCGTGCGTGCTCATCTGTGGCTGCCGACTACAGTCGACGCTGGGCCGTGCGTGTTCATCTGTGGCTGCCGACTGCAGTCGACGCTGGGCCGTGCGCGTCCATCTGTGGCTGTCGACTACAGTCGACGCTGGGCCGTGCGCGTCCATCTGTGGCTGTCGACTACAGTCCACACTCATATGGAAGTGGTTAAGTGTGACGTGGAACACGCCAAACGATTCCTAAATAGCCCAGGTCGTCTCTCTTTGGCCTTTTTTTACAAACAGCAGTTGGTGGAACCGGGGGTGGGTCTGACGCTGAAACAGGCAGACTGTTCGGTGGGAGCCACCTGGGGCCGTCGTGCCGGGCTGCAGATGGCGGCTTTAGTCCCCATCCTTGGTGATGGTTTCCGGGAGAAAACAGCCAGCGTGGAGCTGCTGCAGCCCCCGAGCCACACGCCGGCTGGGGCTGTCGGGCGTGGGAGGGAGGGAGGACGGTGCTCCTTGTGCCGTGAGCTCTGCTCCGCAACCTCGGAATTCGCGGTGAGCCGCGAGTCCCTGAGCCGCTGTCCATCCCCGCTGTTCTCGTTGCAGCCGGCGGCTCCTACTACATGATCTCCCGGTCGCTGGGGCCGGAGTTCGGAGGCGCAGTCGGCCTCTGCTTCTACCTGGGCACGACCTTCGCGGGCGCCATGTACATTCTGGGGACCATCGAGATTTTTCTGGTGAGTGGCGGTTTGGGCGCTTCCCCGGCCAGCCCCGCCATGCCGCGAGTTTATGGGACTGTGGCGCACGGCCCCACCTGGCCCCACTCCGGACGCCCTGCGCGCCTGGCTCTTGCGGCTGGCGGCCTCACCTCCTTGGCATTGGTCCATGCGGAAGCCGCCGGGCGGTGTCCACGCAGCACCATGCAGGTGGGCGTCCTCGTGCCGCCTGCTGGCTCCCCACGCGCCTGGGCTTGGAGACGGCCCCTCCCCGGGACGCCGGCCCTGCCGCGATCCCCGCCTGATTTATCCGTGTTCTGCACAGGGTCACGGCCCAGCAGGGCGCTTGCCAGCGATGTCCCAGCCTTCTAGGGACACGGGCCGACCACGCTGGTCACCCCCATCTTTCCGCTCCCCCTCCCCTGCCAAACCGGGTGCCCGGCAGCACCCTGGGCTGCCAGAGCCAACTGTGTGGCCTGAGAAGGTTCCGGAACCTCCCAGAGGGTTGGGCCGCCCCCGCGTGGCGCTGGGACTTGGGGGCTCCAGTCTTTGGGGCAGGTCGGCCCTGACGACACCTCCCCTCCCCGCAGACCTACATCTCGCCCGGCGCGGCCATCTTCCAGGCGGAGACGGCGGCGGACGAGGCGGCGGCCATGCTGCACAACATGCGCGTGTACGGCACCTGCACGCTGGCGCTCATGGCCGTGGTGGTCTTCGTGGGCGTCAAGTACGTGAACAAGCTGGCCCTGGTGTTCCTGGCCTGCGTGGTGCTGTCCATCCTGGCCATCTACGCCGGCGTCATCAAGACGGCCTTCGACCCCCCGGACATCCCGTGAGTCACGGGCCGTGTGCGTCTCGGTTGGTGCCTGGGCCGCGTCCGGCCCCGTGGGCGCCATCCTGCCTCCGTGGCAGGTGCCAGTGGATTGGGGGGACCCTCCTCCCGGGCGCCTGCAGGAGCGAGCCGGGCAAGGCGCAGCTGCGTCTGGCCGAGTCTGCAGGGGCAGGGGCCCGCGGGTGCCGTGGGGCAGCAGCGTGGAGCTCGTCCCGGGCGGGGCCCCTTCACCCTCACAGGCCCCCGATGGCCTCCGCTCTCCTGCTGGGCGGTTGGGGTCCCCAGCCCAGCGGAGAGCAGGTGCCGGCGCCCAGCCCAGGGCAGCGCTGAGGAGGGGCTGGCGCTGCGGCCAGGCCAGGTGGGCCCCTCCCGTTCCACGCCACGTGGTCTACCATGGAGCCCCCACTGAGGGGCAGCCTGGTTTTACCTACGCTGAGCGCCCCCAAACAGGGGGCAGAGCAGCCCCAAACCCTGTGGGAGCCTGTTCATAGGGCAGGACGGCAGCCCCTTGCCGAGGGGCGCGTTCCCTGACCCCAGGGGCGGCTGGGCAAGGTTGGCGTGGAGCCCTGGCAGGCTGCCCCTCATCATCCTGTACCGCGATGGAGTTTGATTCATAAGTGAGGCGCAGGGCCTCGCGCCTTGGGGGTGTTCTTAGGTCGGATAAGTATGGTGTGAACACGAGCACTACACGCTCCTGGTGGTGGTGAGGCCAAGTGTCCACGGCACGGCAGGGTGTCCACACGGGGTGTCCACAGCAGGGTATCCACGTGGGTGCCCATGGCAGGGTGTCCACGTGGGTGTCCACAGCAGGGTGTCCACGTGGGTGTCCACGGCAGGGTGTCCACGTGAGTGTCCATGGCAGGGTGTCCACGTGAGTGTCCACAGCAGGGTGTCCATGGCAGGGTGTCCACGTGGGTACCCACTGCAGAGTGTCCACGTGGGTACCCACGGCAGGGTGTCCACATGGGTACCCACGGCAGGGTGTCCACGTGAGTGTCCACAGCACTGATGCTGGACAGAGGGAGGGGTCGTGAGAGCTGATACACGCTCAGAACAGTGCATAGTGGAAAACCCGTGAGTTATTTCTGGAATTTCCACTTTGTACGTTCGGACGGGGTTGGCCGAGGGGCTCCTCGGGCCTGCTGGGGCCCAGGCTGGCCGCCTGGGAGGCAGCACAGGGTGACAGCGTCCCGCCCCCAGGGTCTGCCTCCTGGGGAACCGCACGCTCGCGCGGCGCGGCTTCGACGTCTGCGCCAAGGTGCACGAGGGCAGCAACGGCTCGGCCACCACCGCGCTCTGGGGCCTCTTCTGCAACGGCTCCCAGCCCAGCGCCTCCTGCGACGAGTACTTTGCCCAGAACAACGTCTCCGAGATGCAGGCCATCCCCGGCGTGGCCAGCGGCGTCTTCCTGGGTGAGGTTCCCGGGCGCCTCGGCAGGGGCGGGCGCGGAGCCTGAGCCCCTGGTCCCTGCCACCCGGCCGCGTCCCCGGCCCCATTCGCCAGACGGGGCCTGTCGGGTGCGGTGGTCCTGTGGCGGGAGCCCTGAGGAAGGTGCCGGAACCCCATCAGGAACCGGCCCTGCCCGGCCTGTCTCCCCCACAGAGAACCTGTGGAGCGCGTACGCGGACAAGGGGGCGTACGTGGAGAAGAAGGGCGTGCCCGCCGTGCCCGCGCCCGAGGAGAGCCGCGACAGCCGGCTGCCCTACGTGCTGTCGGACATAACCACCTATCTGACCCTGCTGGTCGGCATCTACTTCCCCTCCGTGACCGGTGAGGCCGCACGCGCCGTCCTGTCTCCTTGTGTCTCTGTCTCCTTGTGTCTCTCTCTGTCTCTCTATCTCTGCTTCTCTCTCTCTGTCTCTTTGTTTCTCTCTATGTCTCTCTGTCTTTATCTCTCTTTATCTCTGTTTTTATCTCTGTGTCTCTCCCTCTCTCTGTCTCTATCTCTGCTTCTCTCTCTCTCTGTCTCTTTATCTGTTTCTCTGTCTCTCTGTCTTTATCTCTCTTTATCTCTTTTTTTATCTGTGTCTCTCCCTCTGTTTCTATCTCTGTCTCTCTGTCTCTGCCTGTTTCTCTCCCTCTCTCTGTCTCTCTCTGTCTTTATCTCTATCTTTGTCTTTGTCTCTTTATCTCCGCATCGGCTGTCTCTTTGTCTTTGTCTTTATCTCTGTCTCTATCTCTTTATCTCTGTGCCTCTCCCTTTCTCTGTATGTCTCTCTCTCTCTCTCTCTTTTTTTTTTTTGAGACAGAGTCTCACTTTGTTGCCCAGGCTTGAGTGAGTGCCGTGGCATCAGCCTAGCTCACAGCAACCTCAGACTCCTAGACTCAAGCAATCTTCCTGCCTCAGCCTCCCTAGCCTGTAGCTAGGACTACAGGCATGTGCCACCATGCCTAGCTAATTTTTTCTATATATATTAGTTGGCCGATTAATTTCTATTTATAGTAGAGACGGGGTCTCGCACTTGCTCAGGCTGGTTTCGATCTCCTGACCTTGAGCGATCCGCCCACCTCAGCCTCCCAGAGTGTTACGATTACAGGTGTGAGCCACCACACCTGGCCTCTCTCTCTTTATCTTTCTGTGTCTCTCTGTCTCTGTTTCTTTATCTGTGTTTCTCTCCCTCTCTGTCTTTATCTCTCTCTGTCTCTGTTTCTTTATCTCTGTGTCTCTTCCTCTGTCTCTCTGTATTTCTTTGTGTGTCTCTGTCTCTTTATCTGTGTTTCTCTCCCTCTGGGTTTTTCTGTCTGTATGTCTGTCTTTATCTCTGTCTCTGTTTCTTTTCCTCTCTGTATGTTTCTGTCTTTGTCTTTGTGACTCTCTGTGTCTCTGTCTTTTTGCCTCTCTGTCTCTGTCTTTATCTCTGTCTCTCGTCTCGGGCACGCTCATTCGTCCCCCTTTCTTGCATGTTTGGCTTGGGCGAGGGAGCAGACGCCCGAGCTCCGGGCGTGTTCAGCTCTCATCCCAAGGCCACGGCCCCTGGGAACCCCCCGCCCTCCCCGGCTCAGTTTGGGCGCCAGGGATCCGTGTGCGGGGACCTCACGGGCTCCGTGGCCTGCGCCCCGTGGCTGCCGTCCTGCAGTGTGGACAGGCAGGGTGTGGACTGTGGCCTCCGAGCCCCAACTCCTCCTCCCGGGGGTGGGGAGCGCTGGCCCCCGCAGACCAGGCTGTCCCAGACACCACTTCCCAGCTCATGGCGGCCAAGCTCGGCCGCCATGGCGTGCCGGTAACCATGGCGACTATTTCTGCAGGTATCATGGCGGGCTCAAACCGCTCCGGGGACCTCAAGGACGCCCAGAAGTCCATCCCCACGGGGACCATCATGGCCATAGTGACCACGTCCTTCATCTGTATCCTTGAGTCGAGGCCTGGAGGCCGGGCTGTGGCTTCTGCCCCACGCCCACGTGGGGGGCTGCGTGGCACCCGTGGGGGCCCTCCCAGGGTGGGGGGTTCTGACCACAGCGCCCGCCCTGGAGACAACTGGTCACGTGGTGTGTGGTCACGTGTCAGGTGCGTGACGCTGTGGGGACAGCCCTGGGTGGCGCACAGTGCTCTGCTGTGGGCGCGTGGCTGGGTCGCTGGCTTCCGACGTCCCCGAGCCGTGTCCCTGCAGCTGAGCGAGCGTCTCCTGCCGTCCCCTGCCCCGTGGTGGGGCACAGGCCGGGCACTCGCTGACCACTGAGCCTTGTTCGTGGAGGGGGGGGTGCCCTGAGGGCCACCAGGGTCACATGTGCCCAGGACGGGTGGGGCCGGGGGTGCTCGGCCCACCTGGGACGGGGCCAGCACGTCACGTCCACCCGGGACCCGCCGTTCCTTGACGCGCTGCAGATCTCTCCTGCATCGTGCTGTTCGGGGCCTGCATCGAGGGCCGCACGTCCACCCGGGACCCGCCGTTCCTTGACGCGCTGCAGATCTCTCCTGCATCGTGCTGTTCGGGGCCTGCATCGAGGGCGTGGTCTTGCGAGATAAGTATGTCCGTCTGCGGTGCACACGCACCCGCGGTCAGGGCCCTGGGGGGCGGGGGTATCAGCTTTGCGATGAGAGTCGCCCCGGGACGTCACAGTGTCCGTCCGGAGCAGAGAGCCGTGCCGGCGCCGGGTCCGGCCCCTCGTCTGGCTCAGGCGTTCACGTGTCCTTCCTCCTGCTGGGCTAGGCGCCGCTCAGAGCAAACCCCAAGCCCTGGTGGGGTGGGGGGCTGGGCCGTGGGCCCCTCCAGGGGGGCTGTGAGGACGGGGTTGTGAGGCTGGGACCCGGGAGACCCCAGTGTGGATGCGGCAGGAGTCCCAATAGCGCGGGGTGGTGTCCACGGTGCACAGTGGACACGTGTGGACATGCACCAGTGGACACGTGTGGACACAGTGATGCCGCCGGGCGGCTCCTCCCACCTCAGCAATGGCTCCGAGGGGTGTGGGGCTCCCTGGCCCACAGGGACTCCGGCCAGGCGGGCACTCTCTGCCTGGGCTTGCAGCCGGGCGCCGGAGTCCCCTGGGGGCCCGCTGGGGGAGGCCTGTCTGCGGGGTGCTGTGAGCTGGCTCGCGCAGGTTCGGGGAGGCGCTGCAGGGGAACCTGGTCATCGGCGTGCTGGCCTGGCCCTCGCCCTGGGTCATCGTCATCGGCTCCTTCTTCTCCACCTGCGGCGCCGGGCTGCAGAGCCTCACGGGGGCGCCCCGCCTGCTGCAGGCCATCGCCCGTGACGGCATCGTGCCCTTCCTCCAGGTGAGCCCCGTGGCCGCGCCGACCTGGGTGGGCGCCTGGCTCCCCCAGGGGCGGCCGCAGAAGGTCAGGGGTGTCCGGGGGGACCCCCGAGGCTAGGCCTGGCCCCCAGGAAGGGAGGGCGGCCGGCAAGTGCCGGGACACACTGCCCTGCGTGGATGGGGAAACCGAGGCAGGGGCTCCTAGTGGCTGGAGCCACACAAGTTAGGGCACGGCCAGGTACACCTGTACACAGTACACCTGTGGAGCCACCTGGGCCACAGTTCTCTGTGGGGTCCCTGCCCGCGCCCGGCTGGGTGAGGTCCAGTGACAGGTCCCGGAGATCAGCGTCTGCCGGGGTGGGTCCTGTGCTCAGCTTATCTCTGCAAAGGGAGGTGTCTCTCCTGCCCCCTCGGCCACCTGCCCACCTGCCCTCCCCACACAGGTGTTCGGCCACGGAAAGGCCAACGGGGAGCCCACCTGGGCCCTGCTGCTCACGGCCCTCATCTGCGAGACGGGCGTCCTCATCGCCTCCCTGGACAGCGTGGCCCCGATCCTGTCCATGTGCGTGTCGGGGACAGGCGGGGGCGGGGCTGTGGGAGGGCTGGCTTGGGGGGGGCAGGGACACCGTGCTGGGCAGACGCCTGCTGGGGGGGGGCGGGGAACAGCGGCCATAGGGCAGCAGGGCCTGGGAACCCCACTCCTGTCCACGGACCCTCGGCTGCTGTGCAGATATGTGGGGGCCAGGTGGGCGCGAGGAGACCCCGTGGGGGGGCAGTGTGGACAGGACGGGAGCCCGTGGGGTGCACAGGACAGGGATGGGACAGGGGAGTCCGTGGGGTGCACAGGACAGGTGGAGTCCGTGGGGTGCACAGGACAGGGACGGGACAGGGGAGCCCGTGGGGGATAGTGGGGTGCATGAGACAGGGGAGCCCGTGGGGGACAGTGGGGTACATGGGCTGAGCCCAGTGTCACAGGAGGTGGGTGCAGGCCCAGCACACGCGGCAGTAGGCGTGTGTGGCCCGTGGTCAGCGCCCGGTTACCGCCGCAGGTTCTTCCTCATGTGCTACATGTTCGTGAACCTGGCCTGCGCCGTGCAGACCCTGCTGCGCACTCCCAACTGGCGCCCACGCTTCAAGTACTACCACTGGTGAGGCCCCTGGCCGTAGTGACCTGGGGGGACCCTGTGGCCTGGGGACCCTGGAACCGGGCGCTGACCCCCACCACCGCCTACTGCCACGTCGTGCTGGGCCTGCACCCACCTCCTGGAGCACGATGGGCTCAGCCCAATGTTACGCCCACTGTCCCCAACACGGGCTCCCCTGTCCCGGCACCCCACACTGTCGCCCCATGGGCCTCGCCCTGTCTGCCTGCCATCCCACTGTCCCCCACGGCTCCCCTGTCGCCGTCCTGCCTGTGCACCCCACAGACCCCCATGTCCCGTCCCCTGTCCTGTGCACCCCCAGACTCCTCCTGATCCCCATCCTGTCCTGTGCACACCCACGGGCTCCCCCTATCTCATCCCTGTCCTGGTTGCACGCCGCCGGACCGGAGGCTCTGTCCCCCATACCCTGTCCTGTGCACCCCACGGGTCCGTCCTCTTGTTCGCAGCACTTGCCCCCCGGCTAGCCGGGGATCCTCTGGACCACCTGGCCCCACCCATATCTGCACAGCAAGCCGAGGGTCCGTGGACCCACCGGAGTGGGGTTCCAGCTGCTGCCCGCTACAGGCGGGTGGCCGCTGGTTCCGCCCCCGCCCCAGGCAAGGGGCGCTGCTGGCCCAATGCATGGTGCCCCGCCCCCAGCCAGCTCGGAACGCTCAGCTGCCCGTCGCTGTCCCCGACACGCGCAAAAGATGGACAGGATCGGGGCACATCCTGTCCAGGGAGGCCGATGAGGTCGCCCGTCTCCGGGCAGATGAGGGACCGTGAGCCAGGCAGGCCCCAGGTGGCTCCCCGTTGGCTCCGTTGGCCCAGACACCTGTGTGGGGGAGGCAGTGGGCCAGGTGGCCCATAGGGGGCAGTGAGAGACCGCTCCCCATTTGAAGAGATAAGCTGAGCACAAGGATGGCCACCCCGGCAGACGCCTGTCCCCGGACCCTGTCCACTGGACCATC